ATGTTTTGGAAGTACGAGATACTGTAAGTCAGGAAACCAAATACTGTCATGTCTGAGTTCACAACATCATCCAGAGAAATACACAGCTTAGTGAATTTCACAAGGCTAGATTCACTGTCTCTAGCAAGTCACAAGTCGGCAGTTGGTAAATGAACCCAAAAAGAACATGATTTAATTGCAATCGAAATACTTAATTGATACATTGACATGTTTGTCCACAAGATGGCAAGCAAAAATGTTGAAATTGTTGTTTTTGAATTGAGATCTGATCAACAAGGGCTAGCCTTAGCTAACATTGTAGCTTCTCCGTCAACATTCAAAATAACATGATATACGTATTAATAAAGCAGCGACTTTTAATCCTAATTCAATCAGGAGAGACGGTTTTGATGTAAGAATACATATTTATTGCCAGGAATACACGAATGAATGTAATGGTGTTTTGGCGATTAGGCCCCGTAGGAGTATCATTCGGGAGGGGAAAACTCAGATCCGATGAAACCCCCCCGGGGTCTAGACACTGGTGATGGTGAATGGATAGTTGGGTCGGTCTGAAGGGGAGTGGCTTAGCTTGACCCTGGATTCGGAGGGACAGGAGGTGAAAAGGGGTGGAGGAGGGTTGCGTCGATTCACCTGAAATGACAGCTGTCGGAGGGGGGAGAGCAGATTTAAAAGGATTAGCGGAGCGCTATGATAGGCTTGTGAGAATAGAGCGAAGTGATTGGTTAAGCTGGGGAGTGACGCCCCCGATCACTTATTGAGAGGAGAGAGAATAGTAATGTAGCATAGTAAATGAATGAGTAAAGAAGGTCTTCCTGGTTGAACTTGCGCTGAGCTTCATTAGTCTCTATGCAAATATGACAAACTGTAGAGTTCTGGGTGCCGTTGCCCACAACAACCGCAGATGTTTGTTTTTTTCATCAGTGACGACCGGAGAAGGATCTCAATGCTGCATTGGCTATTGCTAGACCGCGTTATGTGAAAGGCGTCACTTGCTTTTGCGTTGAATGAATGTGCGTCATTCGAGTCACCACATGAAAAATTCTAATCTCATTCAAGTCTGTCTTGGACATCTCAATGGGCTTAAGTTGAACACCCTTTTTATAAAAAAAAATTATTTTTTCTGTCTGTACGTGTGTTTGCTGTACCCTTCATGTCGATATGGTCTAATTGGGGCAAGCCTAAGCTTCACACTGTTTGGACAACCCCGCTGTTTAAATGAACTACAAGCTTTCTACTCCCTCATTTATGCTGTGTGTACGTCTGTTTAGGTCTTTGTTTATCGTGGATTTACCCACAAACATTTACAAAAGCTTGCAAGAGACAGCTGGGTACACAAAAGATAAGGTGGATGAACAGTGACAGAGGGACCATATTTCATATTTTCAAGTGTGTATTTTACATAGCAAAACTTAAGTCAGGCAGATGGACAGATTGTTGTTATTTTACGCAGTAGACCATTTTTCGGATTATTATTTCAGCCTTTTGCTGAATAAGATGTTTGGTTGGTGATGACCAACAAAAGGCACAAATGCTGTTTCTGGTAAACAACATAATAGATTTATGGAAATGTGCTGGTCTGTATCACACAGTTTGGTGTATCATAGTGCATTCCATGTTAGGCTATTTGTCCGTTGCTTTGAGGTCTATATAATAAAATATGTTTGACAGTATTTGATTGTGAATCAATTCAGATTATTGAATCAAATCAGATTATTAGAAGCTTCTACATGAAGAGAATGATGGACCAATTTTCAAAAAAAAATTGCCTTTTTACCCATACCACTTACCACTGCACCTAAAACACACCACAGTCCCTGCACCCAAAACTCAGTGTTTTCCACCTTCCGTTGCACTTGTGGAATTACAATAGGGCCTAAGGGGAGAGCTCCCTCAGCAGCAATAAGGCCACTCCATCATCCTGCTGTGGACAGATTCTCAAACTGGTGTCATCACTGCTGACGTTTTTGTCGCTGGCAGCTTTTCAGCATTCCTTTCTATTTTCCACACACACACCATGCCTCCTCTTCCTGTCTCTCTGCATCATTTTCTCTCCTCTGACTCGTGGTTTTCCTCACGTTCTTTGCTTCCTGCTCACACACAGAAGCCCCAGCAGTGCGTGCGTGACATACCACTGGGGCTGTGGCGTAAATCAGCTGTCAATCTGATGTCAGTGTGGGACACTTACATTTAATGTTGGACAGCAGGACATGCCAATTAATGGCCCAGACCCCTGCACTGATGGATGGGTAATAGGAACCAACAAGTAGAAATCAGGCCAAGAGAGGGGAGCTGTAAAGGGGTTGTAGGCTGAGAAATGTTAGAAACTAACTATGATATCGCTCAAAAGTACAAGGAGCACATTTTTATTTGAGCTAAAAAATCAATATAATGGCTGTAACGGTTTATTTATTCATGCAAACCGTCACAATATGGGGGTCATGACCCAGGGCACGCAGCCGCACGCAGAATAAACCCTTTTTATAGTGATACATGCAGAACCAAATTTCACATGCGTAGTTTCCCCAAGATTTGCTTGCATGAAAGGCAAACTATGGGTAGGGGCAAATACATGGTGAAGCTGGGAGTCCTGTCTGCTGGTTTCAGGTCAGCTACACACATATTCAATGGCATCACCAACATGTGCTAATCTTTATCTCCTCTGCTTTTCAGCAGCCTTTAGATGAGAACTTTTCATCACTATTTTAATTTGATTGTATAGCCTATTGTGGCCCTGTTGCATTTAGTTAATCAAAATCGACAGTAAAATGTTACTTCTTCTCCCCATAAAGAAGATGTTGTCCGTCTGAAACTTGGACTTCTGTCTCTTTAAAATACATAAATAGAAATGTGTGTTTATGCATTTATTTCCCACCGTTCTGAATTATGACTTCTTAATCGGGTATGAACTGAACCGCGACTTCTTTTGCACCATTACATCCCTACATATTCAAGTGCAGTTCTAGTGATGTATAGTATAGTATTTGTTTATTTGTCCCCGAGGGGAAATGGAGGCATTTAAAAAGATAAAACATACGTCACTGACAACAACATAGACACAGATTAAAAAGAACAGACATAAAAAAAAAAAGATATCGGCAGACATGACAAGGGGCCTCGGCCCTCATTTGCGAGGGGGGCGGGGGCGGCGGCGGCGGCGGCAGTGCCTCCTAGCCATCATTGATTCATTGATTCAGGAGTTTGATGGCTTGTGGGACGAAAGACAGCCTAGATCTGTTCTTTTTGAACAGAGGGGCACGATATCTCCGCCCGGATGGCAACAGTTCAAAACAAGAGGCGAGTGGGTGCCTCAGGTCACTCACAATATTGTGTGCCATTTTTAAAACTCTGTCCTTGTATAAACTTTCTATACTAGAAAGTGAGATTCCTGTCAATTTACTGGACAATATTATGGCCCTCCTAACTTACTTTTTCTGTGCCTCAGTGGCGTTGCCGAACCAGCATATGATGCCGAAGGAGAGCACACTTTCAATAAAAGCATGATAAAACATCTTAACCATTCTGTTTCCGACATTAAAAGACAATAATTTACGTAAAAATAACATTCTTTGTTGAGACTTAGCATTTACTTTCTCAGACCATACATCCCATTTGAGCTTGTGGTCAAGCACGACACCAAGATACTTGTACTCAGTGACACATTGTATAGGCTCCCTATTTAAAAGAGTAGGGTTGGGCGATTGTGCTATTCTAAAATCTATTTCCATCTCCTTTGTTTTTGAGGTGTTTAGAAGCAGGTTTGACTTCTCACACCAGTTAATAAAGAAGTCAAGAACAGGCCCATGCTCCTCTTCCTCATCAAATAGGAGGCTGACCAGGGCCGTATCATCTGCATACTTAATAAAGTGCCTGTTGGGAAAAGTGCTAATGCAGGAGTTGGTGTATAAAATGAATAAAAGAGAAGATAAGACACATCCCTGTGGTGAGCCTATCCAGGTAGTTATCATATCGGAAAGTGCCATGCCTATTCTAACCTGCTGAGTTCTACAGCTGAGGAAGTCAACGATCCAGGCGATCAGACCAGGTTCGAGTGAGAATTATTCAGTTAAAATATTTGCTAAAATACTAGGCTTGATGGTGTTAAAAGCCGATGAGAAATCGGCAAATAGGATCTTTACATGGGCTTTTGGCTTCTCGTGTGAAAAGTAAATGGAGATGTGGGACGCAAGTAAACTATTAGATGCATGGGTGAATGCGTTAAACCCAAGTACATGTTTTCTGGAATGACTTTGTGGTGGCCCTGGGGAATTAAGCAATATTCACTTTAAATATATTTACGCAAACATGTAATCCGAAATCTAGAAATGTTTTGCATTAAGGCACAGATACTGCATTTCAAAGAAAAAAGCTGCTGCAGTTCAAATGAACACAAGCCTACAGCCTTTAACAAAATATACGGTATTGAAATATATCCTGTCTGATGTGCTGTATTAGAGAATATTAAAACTGAAATGTCAAGTGGACAGTGAGACAGATCAAACCAAGTTAAACCAACAACCGCCAAAGGGGTTGAAGACATGGATGTCTTGAATTTTTATGCAGAGCCAAGGAAAAGTAAGAGTGCTGTCAGAAGAAATGTAACCAGGAGGGATGGGTCAATTAAGTGACAGAGGGGTGGGTACCATATGGAGGGATGGAAGGAAGGCCAGGAGGGTCATGATAAAGAGGAGGGGGAAATATACGAAGGGGTGGAGAGGGCACGCATGACCAGAAGGGATTTGGCCGTGGAAAGTCAACTCCAATGACAGATATCATAAATAAGATGTAGGCTAATGTGGATGTAGACATCTACACAAGGTGACATATCTTCAAAATGTAATTGTGAATGTAAAATAAAGGCCAGACAAGGTGTCTTTTAAAATAGTGGATCATATCACATTCTTGCTTTTCTTCCAATCCCCCCTCCTTTACAAATGTTTAATATCTGGCTTTTTCATCTAACTGTCATTTGCTTTTATTGTTTCTTGTCTCTAATCCAGGAGGATTTTCGGAATAAGGTTCAAGATTACGTCAAGCACTACGCCAGATGATAGAAGCACCGGCTACCTACACCAGCCTGCACCAACCAACCAAACTGCTCTACCTTGCCTCTGCTTGCCTCGGCCAACTCGCCCAACGTGAATCGACAGCTGACTCTTACCGCTCCCCCTCCTCTCGACAACATGCCCTGCTGCTCACCAGATTGCAATAAACTCCAACCTGCAGGAGCGAAAATAAAAATAAAATGAAAAAAGATGCGTAAAGACTTGTATACAGAAGAAAATTATGCTTTGATTTGTACTAATCGATTGAGCGTTACGATGACCATAATGTCTGTTCATTGTGACAAGATCGCCGAATGACGCCGCCTCCCTGAGGTGTCCCTGAGCCTGTCGGAAACGAGCCATGGCAACGACCGGCAAGGGATGTGATGTATCACCGGCACATACAAATAAAGGCAGTCACGTTCAGCTGTTTAAGACTAATCAAAAGAAGGAATATTTGTTGATATCAGTTTCTCCGTTCCAGTGCCTGCTATGTTTGTGTCGCTAAAGAGAAAATGCATGAGAGTTCACAAACATATAAATACGCACAGTGTCACATCATGTAGTAAAAGCTTAACACATACATCCAAGTACTTAATACACTTATTCACACACACTAGAGTCGGAAAGACCCACTAGACAGCATGTGAATGACCACATCGTCCCATTTTGTTGTCATTCTTCTTGCATGTACACACACACACAACGCTCACATACATGCTTTCTTTTTTGTGTTTTCAGCTCAAGTGGGATAAAGTAAGACTACTAGAACCACAGCCAAATGTATTGTACTGTTTTCAGCTTCTGCTCTCCTCATTGTCCTTTTTTGCCTTTTCCTCCTCCTGCTTCTCTTTTTCACACCTACACACTAACACTCACATGTACCTGGGAGGGACATGACTTGTCGCTCTGTATTTAAATGTGGTTTAGAAATGAAACAATGACTATGAGTTTATAGGACTGATGTGATTTAATTTTACATTTATACCCAATAAACAGTGTAGGAATTGTGTCTTTTTGTACACAAGTCCCCAAGTTTATTGGACACATTGTAATGTTATATGTGGCAAACAATGTGAAAGGGATTGCTCGTTGATGAACCTACAGGGAATTATCACCTGCACCTGCAGCTCCTCTCAGCGTTATAGTAAAACTAAGCTAATTGTCTTGCTATCTGGCGCAAAGTTTGACTGTTTTTGTTCAATGTCACTGGTACCATAGTGTCGTTTTTGGCTGTTTTCAGCAAAAAAGCTCCAACAATCCTACAGTACAGCAGAAAGACACTGTTGGTGACTAAAAGGTGGTGAAACAAGTGAAGCATTTAGCAGCTAAAGAGCCAGATATCATTAGTTTGGTACACAAGTCTGACATATGTCGTTCACCCAACATGTGTGTGAACAGCTTTTTAAAGAAATAGTTCTTGTTTAAAGTCAGCACTTTTACCTCACAGTTATTGTTTCATATAATTGTCAATATGCTGCAGTACAGAATAAAATACATTACTGTCCTAAGACGTATTGACTGCACAGAAGTTAGCCCTGGGAGACCAAAGCTAATGTGTAGAGTGTCTTTATTTAATGACAGTAGGCCTACCCATTCTGTCCTCTTTGTCCATCTGTATCAAATTATTTCCCCAAAAATGTAAACTGCATTATCAATGTTGACAATGTGGACCTGTAGTCTGCAAAGGTTCATGAGGAGAGGGAGCGAGCTAACAAGCAGACTGGTAACATGCTATCGAGTGAGTTTACAAGCTAACTAGCTAGCTCACAAGTGAGTGTTTTTTTACTTGGTGCGAAGGGCTTTGTTATTATTTGTCATCAGGTATGTGTACTACAATGTGGAGAAATTAAAGGTGTTGCCCTTGTAGTAGCCTACAGGTTTAGAGGAGGGAAAGTACACACTCTGTAGCCAGTTAGCCTGTTTACGCATGGAATAGCTTACTTGCTACAAAGCTTGTTAGCTAACTCGTTAGCTTGCGTAGGTGCTGCTATTCCACTGCCATTGTGGATTTCTGGCCATAAAACTTGTGTAAGAGAAAGAAAGAGACCGTCACTCAGTTAGCCAGTGAGTGTTTGTTAGTGTGTGTTTTGCTCGGCCCTGGCTAGCATTGTGCCTCCAGTTTCAGTCATATCTCAGAACATCAACACTGTTCTCACTCAATTCAGCTTTGTGTTCACACGTCTGCATGAGGCAAAGTCTATGTTATCTGGCAGTGGTGCATTTTACTAAGGATGTCAGAAATGTACTTGTTTAAGATTGAAATGTTATGTCGGAGGTGTGTGTGTGTATAAAGATTGAAATAATGTTTGTTGAGCGTGTGTGAGTGGGCAGTTAATGTATGAGGTGATGAAATTATGTGAGTTGTTAGCATGCTCTCCCCCCCTCTTGGTCTTCTTTTCTTTTGGTTTTTCTGGCCCTAGATTCAACATCTCAAATTATCAGAACAAGTTAAACAGAAAAACAGATGATACTGGCTCAAATAAAGGACCTGAAAATATAACAAACACCAGGACCATTGAAAGCAAATGTGAATGTGGGCGTTCAGTGTTATCTTCCATCATGGTGTTGGTCTATTAAAACGTTGAAGGCTAATGTAACAGTCTATCAATAAGAAGCCATCCTGTGAAATCCATATAAAAATGAATCTTGTGGTGGTAGTTGCCTACTGGGTATGGAAGCCCAACTGTGCTTAATCTTAGCCTTACTACTCTGATATGTCATAGGCCTATGTTCTTTACTTTGGCAGTTAGCAGTGTTTTTTCCCCAGAATGCTATCGGGAGATGCGTCTGCTTGGGCTAACTCAATCTTTGGGCCATGGGAGAAGATAAATAATCTGTTGTCTCAACCTATACTTTCTCAGATTGTATATCAATTTTTTAAGATATATTAAAGAGAATATAGATAAAACAAATGTGTCTTGAATGTTTTTTATGTGTTTCTTTCACTTAAAGGGGACCTATCATGCAAAATGCACTTTGTGATGCCTTTTATACATAAATATGTGTCCCCGGTGCGTCGGGGAACTCACGCAGCGTCAGAAAATAAAACCCTCTTCTCTTTTCCTCCGTACCCAAATCTTTTAAAAACGGGTGTACAACGAGTGGATACAGATTTCCATCCGAACTGACGTGTCCATCCGTGGTGACGTCGGCGGACCCACAGAAAGTTGCTATCAGAAACAATGCCTGACGTGTTTTGGACGTCTTTGTTTACATTAGCAAGCCTCGCTAACACTCAGAGCTAACCTGTACTGTGTAGAGCACATGTGTTTAAAAAGCAGGAAATAAAAAAAGAACTCACCTTGTGATAAACCTGCCACAGAAAAAGCATTTGAGCTCCATACTATTTCAGAAATAATCCTTGACGTGATAGCGTTTTATCACAACCGAATGTAACTTTATCTCCGGTAGAATTCTGATCAGGCATTAGCTGCGCCTCCTCTTATTTATTTTTTTCAAGCTAAGGACCCAAAATATGTGTTTCTCTAACAGGGCTGCAAAAGGATAGAAAGGATCCGTCTTATATACCAACACAGTCTCACGGCATTTCGTGTTATAGTCACGCAATGAATCTATTGATTCGTGTTCACCAACACGATTTCGCCATTTTTTTCGTGTCACACAACGATTTTAAAAGCAATGTAAATAATAACAAATTAGAAGGAAAAAGACATTTAAAAAAATACAGATTTAAGTATTCTGACACAGAACGATTTTAGAAGCAATGTATTTATATTGGTAGTATGTTTCGTGCCTGCACCAAATAATAACAAATTAGAAGGAAAAAAAAATGACATAAAATACAGATTTCAGTATTCTGAGGCTCTGAGCCCCATTTATTTTCCTCACTGACGGCAAAAAAACTCAGACATTATACAATTTAAAATAAAAGGGATAGGGTTAGGCTTAGGGTAAGATATTGAGTAAGAACATGTTTTTATGAACCACACAGCTTCTGGTCTTCCAAGACCCAACCGGACAAAAAGACGTGTTGCAGGCACGAAACATACTACCAATACAAATACATTGCATTTAAAATCGTTCTGTGTGACACGAAAAAAATGTGAAAATCGTGTTGGTGAACACGAATCAATAGATTAAATTAATTTCGTGACTAATAACACGAAATGCCGTGAGACTGGGTTGTATATACAGTCTATAGGCGCGTTCACACCAAGTACTTTTCCCACAATAGTTCATGAGAACTCAGTTCATGAGAACTCTTTTAGTTCTGATGATCTAAAGCAGATCGCGTTCACACCGAAATGAGTTCCTGGGGGTGCATTAGGCAAATGAAGCCGCTGACGCCACTTCTTCTTCTTCTGCTTTGGGTTTACTGGCAGGCCGCAAACAACTTCACGGCGAGTACAGTAGGTGGCGGTATGCACCTTAAAGTTGCAATCCGCCAAAAAACCGAGAGAAGAAGAAGAAGAACCTCCCGCGTATACCAAGCAAGCCCCCAGGAAGTGCGCCGGACTCAGATGAAAATATTCGTGCTGGCCAAACGGCGGTACTACACTTCCTTTTGGTTGCCAGGCCCGGAAACACTTTTCCCATTGACTTACATGGGGAAAGAGTGGTCTGTAAATCGTTGGATAATTTTTTTTAAACTAAATAAACTACCCAGTATGAACACTTGTATAGCCCTTATTAAAAACATTCGTTCCTCAAGTTGTAAAAATGTGCTAATAACGTTATTCTGAGAGTTATTTCCCTCTGCATTATGAACGCGCATCTAATCCACGGGACCACGCCGCCCGGCACGTTCATGTTACGTGTTCAGCACTACATGCGTTTATCTTTACCCATGGATGTACAATAAGAACGGACCCATATCGCCTTACTGCCAGCCCACGGAGCTGTAATAATGGATATATTGCACATGTTTGCTGTAATTCATCATTTGTAAAATATTATACTACATGGGCTGTATGATTAAATCTTGTACCGTACATGTTGTATTAATAAAGTTAATATTACCGACGTAGATTAACGTCCCTGTAGCTTCTTATTGCACTAAGAAGCTTATTGCACTGTATATATATACATATATATATATATATATATATATATATATACAGTGCAATAATTCTTTCATGCTAAATGAAGCTCTGTTGCTTGGATATTCACTAGATCCTGTTACAGCGTAATATAAAAGTACATAACGATTGATGTGTAAATTAGCATAATTACTAGCTACCGCTAGCTGCTAACTGCCGCCTCGTAATATCAAATCTATCATAATAACAAACCATTACCATGCTGTCATGAATGTGCAGTGCTGTTACGTGTACGCAAATTGACGTGCTTGATGTGAACGAGCATTTTGGGGGGCATGGTTAAAGCTGCGCATGCGCTATGAGCGCACATACGGGTACTTCTCAGGCATGCCGGGTAATCTGTGACGTTTCGCTCTCTCAAAAGTTGGGCCATTTTATCATCATGCGCGAATGAGCAACTCTCATAGGAATGAATGAGGCCCCGCCTCCCACGCTGTATCCAGTTCTTATTATACATCCATGGCGTATACTGCCACGCCCACCTGCTGTATATGAGGCGTCTGTTTACCTTCCGACCTCAGACATGAGTTATTTAAGCAAACACAATACAGATCGTCGACCAGTCAAATGCAATAGCAATGCTGTTTCGGAAGCGAAGGCGGTTAAGAAGGATTGACAAAAGGATTGGACAATGACATGCATGCGCTATGGATTGCGTAACCTGTGTGAAATGAATGTGTGTCGTATGCATGTAAATACAAGTTAAAAGTTTTAATGTAAATAGAAGTTAACATTTTCAATATAAAAGAAAGTGTCAGTAGTATCAAAACAATATAATAAGAGTGGCAATATATATATATATATAATAACAATAATAGGTAGGCTCAGCAGCAGACACACCTTAGTGCAAAGTGAAGTGTCAGTATTAATAACAGTGGCATATATATATAATCACAATAATACAAAATTAACTGTCCCAGGTGTAGGCAATTTGGGGTGAAGTGTCTTG